CGTAGCTAAAGCTTAACTTTGTTTTTGTAACTTATAGCCACAGATACTTTATAACCATGGTTATAAATATCTTTTAGCCACGGACAGAATAACTTAACCACGGACAAATTGTCCGTAGCTAAAGCTCAACTTTTAACTATGGACTAATTGTTCGTAGCTAAAGCTCAACTTCTGCCTTTGTAACTTATAGCCACGGATACATTATAATCATGGCTATATAATCTTTTAGCCACGGACAGAATAACTTTTAACCACAGACAAAATATCCGTAGCTAAAACCCAACTTTTTGCCATGGACATCAAATTATCCCTATTATATCCCATGTTTTAGATATGGTTTTTTTTTATCATAGCTAAAGTTCCCTAACTATAACCCCATTTTCCTGTAGTTTATTCTTCAATGATGAAATCATTATTTTTGGTATTATTATCGAAGATATTTCCAAAAACACTACGGGGATATAGTGTGGGTGTGGGACGTTGTGGGGCTGATTTGATCTCACCCACCCCAAAAAAGTAACAAATAAAAATAAAAAGTTAAACAAAAAAATATTGAATCAATTAACAAGTGCTAGACTAGGGGTGATCATTTCAGCCTGGTCCGGCTCGGAAATATGCATGATGTCATGTAATATATAGATATTTAATGTTTTATATATGAGTGACATTGGCCCGAAATCAGGCCCGGTTCGTATAAATTTGAGATAGGATTTATGTTTCAGGTCCGGAATCTTGGGCCGGGCCGGGCCTGGGCCTAAGCTATAGCCCTTATCATAAGTGCAAAGCCCGGCTCGGCCCGGTCCATGATTGCCCCTATGCTAGATAGATAGAATCCTGCTCACGTCCACCTGCCCGAGTCCGGATCTCCTGCCCACGAGAACTCTATCCACGCCTACCCACAATACACTACCCCCGTGAATTGGAAACATCTCCCCTTGCATAATACTATGCATAGGATGAGATGTTCTCCATGTGTGGCTGCGATAAACGTGAACAGAGTTCTTGTGAGCAGGAGATTAGTAAGATAAAGATGAAAAAACTACTTATTTAACAAAAAAAAAAATTTTACAAAAATATTGTTCTAACGAGATTGGTAGAGAGACCATAACACAACGCGGATTTGGTCCTAAAAAATGGGTAATGGGTCCATTCCATATAATACTCTCTCTAGAGCATACTTGCCTATGAACTAACTCACAAGAAAAAAAATAATAAAAAAGAAAGAAAAAAGGAAAAAAAAAAAGAAAGGAGGCTTAATTCTCAAGGCGAAAAATAAGGCTGAGACCCATATCTAGAAAGATATTTCCTTCTCGTTTGTAAGAGTTACAAGGTACAGTCATGGTTTGGTGAAATAACCCAGCTGGAAGTCTGGAACTACTACCAGCAATCTTCCGATTGAATGAACGGTGCAATTCAGTTTGCACGTATTTCTATGTTGGTCTCTTTGATGTTCATGTGGATTAATGCTAATTCAATTAACAAAATTGGCAAAATAGCCATCCCCTACTTGAGATTTTTGAAGGTTCTTTTGTCAGTTTCAAAAATAAATCAAAATAATCTAGTTTGAACATTAATTGATTATTAAAACAGAAACACAGAAAACATGTCTTCATATAATAATCCTTTGTCATGTTTCATAGATCGTATAACCCATTTGGGAAGGTTTCAACTGTTTGGACTGAACTGCTTTGAAGAGATGAGAGTGTGGGTAGTCCTGTAGACAGGAAATCTGGACCCTTGTAGAACGTCTCCTAAGATAGAATGAAGTGATTTACAGGTGGTTTTATATGGTCCATGTATGCATCATTGGATTCTTCATTAAATAATTTTGTACATTCTGGACTGACTGGCATGTGGGTCATCTGGTCCTGTTTTTAACAGAGATAGCAGGTTTGCTTGGTAATGGTATGCATGGTTACTCACATGCAGACCAGACGTACTCCCTTGTGTTCTCTTGCAACATGAGGGCCGCTGATTTGAGGGAACGTCCCCCTCCTTTTCATAAACAGGGTGTCTCTGCTCTGATTGTCTCCTCCTCTTAAATACACAGTACTAGCCCCTCGTATCATATACCATGGTTTTTTAAAATCGAACCGGACAATGAACAAGTCAGAGGTCCGGTTCTTAGGTTGAATGGTCTGGTTGTTCGAATCAAACAGATGGCCTATTTTAACAAAAAAAAAATTAAAATAAAAAATGACCAAATCGTTGAATGGTTCGAACGGTTCGATCGCCTGAGTCAGCAGTTTGCTGACCAAATTAACAGTTTTTGGCGAAATAACGGTTTTGAGGTAAAATGGAACCAGTCACCTGAACGGTTCTCATTTTTTCCAGTTCGACCATTCGATTCGGTCCAGCCTGGTTTTGAAAACTAATGAGGGCGCATTTGGCCTTCCAATGACATCATGACACATGGCATCTCAGAACAGCTAGATGACACCCCGACACCACCTAGGGAATGACTTGCCTTAGCCAAAATGATGGAGTCCGACATGGAAACCTACCTCTGCCGTCGACCTGGTGACCTACCTCCGCCGATCCGGTGGAAATCTAGCTGGTGACCTCGTCCACAACTCAGGGTAGTTTGCAGCATCTTATCCAAGGCCAACCTGTGGTACCTCGTCAATACGACCGAAGTGACCTCGATGAGGAGAGACCTCCCTCGAGAGCTTGCTGACCTGATTGAGGTACAGGTGGCGACCTGCGAGACGTGCTTGCTAACCAATTCTGCATGCATCCCGTCACTCCTGGGTCTCTCGGAAGTTGGTTCCCGCATCAAATGTTTCAGAGGAAACTAAATAAGGCGCAAAGATTGGTCTACGTGCATGACTACTTCGAGGAGTTTGGACCGGTTAGGCACGTCCTCTCGGAGACCTCGGATGCAATGCATGAAGCCCACACCAAACAACGCCTATACAAAGGCACCAACCCTAATGATACAAGGGTAAGCCATCCCAGGTCCTTTGAGCATCCCTTGTCTTGCAGTTCGACTAGCCAACAGAGTAGACCGATGTCCAAGCTGCCCTCCAGCTAGGAGCTTCTAGATCGCGCACCATCAAAAACCATGTCACATACATCAAAGAGACTACCTTGTTCTTGCTAGTTTTCATTTCTCTATTGCATAGCAAGGTCCAAAGTATCGACACATATCAGTTGATACATATCATGCTAACTGCTTCTCAATATGCCCCTTCAGGGATTGTATCGGGCTAGACCATGGTTCGGAAGGTAGTCGAGACTTAAACCAAACCCTCTGAACTAGTTTTGAAAAAAATAAAATAAAACATAAAAAAAACACCAATACAGGCCGATACTTTGAACCTTGCTGCATAGGCATGGGGTAATTCTCAAATCAGAGGAGTAAACTTTTGTGTCAGGTTCAAAATCTTCTTCAAGCAAAAACTGACCTGAAAAGCTAGGTGGTAATTTGGCAAGGTTTTAAAAACCCGCTTTGGTTATTGGTTTTTTGGATCAGTGGTTCAACCGTCCGGTCTGAATGGATTTGTCTGTGATATTTTGAAAAATAAAAATAAATAAAAAAAATTAAAACAATGAAGTGATGCAAAGTTATCCACTGGGTCAAATGGTTTAGTGGTTCAACTGTCTGGATCAACGGTTCACAGGAAAATCAATGGTGTTTTGGAAACTTCAGGGTCAGCTATAAAATGGAACTGGACAATTGACCGATTTCCTGGGCCAAATGGTCTGACCGTCCGGTCTGATCTGATTTTCAAAACAGTAAATTGGGCAATAACCTGATAAACCCGTCAAAAACCAATGGCCCAGTTAACTGTGACCATCGATCCAACCACCTGGATCAGCTACAGTTTAAAATCATGGAGAAAGTAGGGTTGATAAGTTTTGGAAAGAGTAGTCCAGTGGTAATCTTCGGAAACACAGAAAATGTCCAGTGATAAGTTTTGAACGCCTCTGATTGTGTGGTACAAAATGACTTCTATCTCCACCTACTTCAGGACTAACAATTAGTGTTGAGCGAGTGAGCGTGAGGGAAGAAAGCAAAATTGTATTGGAGAAAGGAATGCGATTCAATTCAGTAGTTTACCACATCGAATTGACTGATTTACCTGATCAACCGGTTCAACCATTCACTTCAATAGTTTTCATTCAGATTGTCAGTCAAACTTGGCCCACTTACGACTTACTATACTATTCTCATGTCAAATGGCGTACATCGAATTACTGTTACAACTAATATATTAGGGTGTAAACGGAACCTTAAGGTCAAATCCAACACCCATGCATAACCAGATAAAAATGGCTGATCTTGGTTCTGTCACGGTCGAAGATGATAAACTCCGGCGACTTTGTGCTAAGTCGTTTTCAAAAGCTAAAGCCTTGAAGAGAGTACAGCCAATTATGGAAGTCATAAAGGGGAAACCAACACGTCTGAGATTGGTTCCTTTCACACGCCATGACCATGACAAGACATACTCGCACATAGCTTTCTCCATATAATAATTTGTAGCTGGTCTCGTTTCTATCGGATTGAGCTTCTTTCAAATGGAACTTCTATTCATTTGGTGGAATTAGATGTACTTGGACCTTGTATATTGGCAAATACATTACCCACTTAATTAGTTAGTATAGGTAAAAAGAAGAAGCGTTCAAAGGATTTATTTTTTTTCCTTTTATTTCAAGTTAATTAATTATACATTACGGCCCACTTAAACAGTTAAAGATCCGGTGTGGGATGGTTAAGTGTATATTTAATTTTCTTTTGCAACTTTGATTTCGGATTAACTTTACCGGTTGAACCGGATGTCCCCTGAAATAAAGTGCCTATGACAGTTGAGCTTGAAGGAAGAGGTAGTCTTTGGTCAAGCTAATCACTTGATTCATCAATGATTTTAAAACCCTTTCTTGTACTGGGAACCAGCTAACTAGTATTGGAGTTACAACCATTTTTTATAGGATTTGGACTCATAAACTGTTAGGGTCTGTTTGTTGACTGAGAAAGAGATGAGAAAAGGGAATATTCCTGAATGATTCTTCATTTTCTGTGTTTTTTTGTTGGTAAATAGTGTTTTGGGATAAAAAACGAGAGGGATGCAGGATCCCAAAATGAAGTGAGCAGGACCGCACCAAAACAGTGCGACCACAGTGGGAAAAGAAAAAGCTAAGAAAATTTAGCGGGCTTTGTTAGAGCAAGAAGCATATCTCCGGCAGCTTCTCTGTCCATCTCTCTGAAAGGTAACACAAGATCCATGAATATCTCTTTCTAGCGGTCTTGTTCTACCCTTTTTTGTTGTTTTTCAATCCATGGTTCCTTCTTCCCCAACCCCATGTTTTTCCCCTTAGTGGCTGAAAGCTCAACCATTTTCTTCATCGTCTCCGGCAAAGGTTTTGTCAAAATAAAATCACACTCTCCACAAGCATGCATCCATGTCTAAATCTAACATTTTAGCCACATTTGTGTACATCACTGAGAGTGTGAGGTTTGAAACTTCGAATCCAATAGGCTTTCTTTCTGTCATTACTCACTCTTTTTCTCTCTCATTTTTGTAAGAAGTGAAATGCTGAAGAATGAAATTGGTTTCACTGATTTACTATTTTTTTTTTCGAGTTTCAGCCTTGAGGAGAGATTTACGAAGAATCCAAGTTTCTCACTCTCATCGGGTATAGGATACAAAAGGAGCCAGTTTTCCTCCTAGGTGAAGAAGCTTCCACTTCCGCTCCAGCTTTGGACAACGCTTTCTGTCTGTAGTAAGAAAATTTTGACATTGAAGTTTTCCTCTTTTCAATTTTCTTTTGCAAAACAAAATTCATAAATCATCTTTTGAAAACATGAACTGCATTTGTTTTGTCTTGAATAAAGTGCTCATGATGGGGTTATTCTAGTTCCAAAAAAATGTGTTATGTATAAGACACCAGATGACATGCAACCTCAGCTTTTGCTTTCTCTGTGAAGCACTCCCCTTTCCGTTTCTCCCCTTCACTGTATCACTTACCATTAGCCACCTCTGCTCCTCTTGATCTCTGAAAAAATGGCCTCAGGTATAGCCTCATTTATCAGAAAACACACAGATATAAGTTCAAGAAAGCTGTGGGAAAACATGGGTTGATACAAAAACAAAAACAAAAATACTGGTTGTTACAGTTTGGATTATTTCTCCTCTCTTATTTCAATTGTTATTTTCTTTTGTAATGCAGTGTTATACTGTGTGGTGTGATACAGGGCCTTGTTCTTCCTTCAATAGACATTTTTTATGTTTATATTTCTACATAATTTTAGTGCTTATTATGTTTTCTTGGATCTTAACCTGTAAGCATAAGTTTACCCATCAAAACAACACACACACACAAAGAAGATAAAGATCTTAGTAAAGCTTTTAGAGCTTCAGATTTTTATGGGGGCTACAGAAAAATTAGTTTCAGAAGAGCAGATGAAGTGATTCAGAAAGTATAAATGTCAATGTTGATATGCCTGTCCCTCCTGATCCAGTTATCCTCAACCTGTGGTGGTGTTCTCCAAAATTACACTGTTCCAATGATCTATTGGGGTTACTCTCCCTGAAAATGAAAGCAAAGTCTTGCTCTCTAATCTGTCCTCCCCGTGGAAAGCTGGAAACTCCCTTCTTTCTCACACAAAAATGTTAAATATAGCTCATGAACAAAAATACCATACATGAATTCTGAAATGAGACTCATTCTTTATCATGCATATGAGTATGCATGCATCATTATGATGATTTGGCTATCAAAAAAGAAAAAAAAAAGTGTAATGTGTGCTTTCATGTAGCTTTGATTAATAACAGTGAAGGAAGTAAAGGAAAAGGACAAACAGGTCACTTACATTTACAAGCTTAATAATATTCGAGTCAATGCCTTGATATCATTAGTAAGCATTTAGATGGATATGGAATTTGGGAGTTAATGACTTCAAGAAGGGTGAGTTTTACTTGAGTTATTATAGCAGTTTTTTTTTCTAATCCTATTAGGCTCAGGCCAAGCATGCATCAACCATCAATATGACTTCTATTTTTATTGACATTATCTGATATGTGATTTGTGAGCTTATTTTCTTAGTTGGAGGCTACCCATGCAGCGCCTTACATGTATTAGACAGCAGATGACATTCTAAACAATTTGTAGTTGAGTTTCTTTTAAACACTTGTACAAGTCTACATGAGATAAATATATACTTGCAACCTGAAATCAATATTCATATGCAATAAATCCAAGATAATATTACCATAGAAAAGCCAGTGTATGACTTTTTGGATGAAATAGGTTATTTAATGCAAATTCTTTGATGTACCAACAGGTCAAATAATGGAGCAATTTTATTTCCTAGTAGTTTCTTTTATGAATGCAAGCACATGTTTTTTATGGATAAATACATTGAATAGACCTATGAACAAATTCTATGATGAATGAGCAAGTCCAAATAATGAAGCATTTCTTACTCTTAGTAAAATTTTTTCTATGATGAATGAGCAAGTCCAAATAATGAAGCATTTCTTACTCTTAGTAAAATTTTTGAATGAGCAAGTTTAATAATACTATCATGCCACATGGCAAGTTTAATCGCACGTGTCATACATTTGAGTGATGCAAGTTGTCATAGAAGTAAATTATATGCATTTTTATAATTGAACATGATTTTTCTCATATAAATTTTTTTGCAAAACAAACACTGGAAAGTGGATTTTCTCACAAAAAATTTATCAGTAAACAAACGCATTACATCTAAATGAGAAAATAATTTTTCCTCTTCTCATCCCAACCTTTCTCATCCCATCCTTTCTCAGCCCAATTTTCCCAGCAATCAAACAGACCCTTAGTGTTAGTGAAAGAATTTCTCTTTTCAATGTATTAGAGAATTCTACCAGAAAAAAAATGTATTGGAGAAGAAAACTGTATTAGAGGTCCATGCCACCATGTGGCTTAGAATGGACGTTAAAGAAATTTGTCGATGACCCGAATGTTGGGATCAATGGCCTTATCTAAGAGGGGCCGAATTGTGTTGAATTCTAAAAAAGAAATATTTGAATTCAAATTTGAATTCTTTGATTATGAATCAATGGAGTTCAAAACCCTTTTCACTGAAACTAAGCCCTCTTGATAATAAAATCAAGATGTAATAGAATAGAAGCTTAATCAATTTAGTTCAGTAGTTAATCAGGTGGTTACTTTTTTATTAACACAACTGTTGAACAAAAAATCTACAGCTACCAAAACAAACAAGCAATATGATCACATGAGCGACAAGGGTTAGCAATCAACAAATACAAACAATAATATAATGGAGACTGCTAACAAGATGATAGCGGGTAATGATAAATGAAAACAATATAAATCTACAACCTACTATTCAGTCAAGTGGTTCTATAATTAATTTAGAGGACTTGTTATAATATGATGCATGAGACGAGAACTAGCTATCCAAGTATAATTAACTTAAGATTTTGATGGTGCTCAGATCGCCTATGCTCCTGTTAGATGACAGCTCGGACAAAGAGATGTTGAGGTCAGGAGACGATCTGCAAGACAGATGAAGTCAGAGTACCTGAGAGTTTGGACCCAAGCTGGGCACTACAAAGCTTAAGTTAGTAGAACTGATGTTCACCCAAAACCAGGGCTAGGCACTACTTAGGAATGGTAAGGTTCCCATAAGGAACTTCAACCACCTGATGTCCACCCAAAACCAGGTCAGAGTTTGGTCCACAGAGTTAATAGTCAAGGACATCCTTGAGCTCATAGCTCGGTATAGGATTTACACTTCACCCCCAAGTATCCTTAGGAACATGAAAAGGGGGAAGTCTGTGTCTTCAAGGAGGCTTTGAAGGCTAGATTCAAATTTACTCTTCACCCCTTCATTCCCGAGGTCTTAAACTATTATGATATCTCCTTTGCTCAGCTTCATCTGAAATCCATCAGGACCATGGTCGGCAACATCTCCTTTTGTCATGACGTCAATTTCCCCTTGACCATCTAAAACTTTGTTGGCCTCTGCTAGTTGAAGAGGAACCCCAACAAAAAATATAGTTATTACCTGTCCTACCACTCCAACTATAAGTTGTTAGGTGGTTTCCCTTCCATGGTGTCGACCTTGAAGAGGAAATACTTCTTCCTAGAATGTGACAGCGGGTGGCCCTTCACCTCAGAGTGGAAGATGGACCTTAGGGATGTTGGTGAGGAAACCTTGAGTGAGCATTTGCAGCTGAGGGTACAGGTCCTGGTCAACAGGTCGTGGTACTTTTCTTGTTAATTTTGCACTTTGGTAATTCAGCTCAGTTCAATTTACTTGTGTAGGAGACATGTCGGGAGTACCAACCTCGAGGCTCTTCCAGGCCATGAAAAAAAAGAAGAGGAAGATAGTCCCCAATGAGACTCCTCAGGTTACAACCAATGAGTAGGTCAAGCAAGTTGTTGCCGAGGTCATTAACATCATCGAGGATGAATAGCAAGAGGCCGCCACTATGGAATCTAGCAGCGTCCGAGCTCCTAAGGAGAGTCACCCACCTCCTAAAGTCGAGGAAACCAACACTTTGGAGGCTAGCTCTAGGGCATGGCACTCAAATGATCCTAGACCCAATGACAACGCTGGAAATGAGTAAGGCTGCTATCATCCCAGAGGAGGTGGAGACATAGGCTACGTGGAGGCTTGCTTAGGTCGGTGACAGGATACATCACCACCTCATTGTGGTAAGTAGTCTTAAGACCCTAATGTTCATTGTGTGCTTTTCCCCTTCTAATCCTCTTGGGGTTTTCTTTGCAGGCGAACTCCTTAGCACACACATTGATGGGTTAGGTCAAGTAAGGTTACTATAGCGCGAGGCCTTGACGAAGGACCTGGAGGAGTCCCGAGGTTGCTTGGAATGGGCCTCCACACTTGTCTTTGAGCTGAAACACGACTTGGAAGAGGAGAAGGTGAAGGCGACCTTGCTAGTGAAGAAGGTTGTTAAGAAGGCCACTAAGCCAAAGCAAAAGGAGACTGAGCTCACAGAGCGAAGGTTGAAGTTCTCCAAGGAGATCTGTGCCACGAAGGCCAAAGGCGTTGCTGAGTACCATGCCTCTCAAGAATTTCATAAAGAGATGGTGGACTTTGGTGCTAGTGCATTCCGTCAAGTCTTCAAGCCGTGTCATATGCTTGTAGCAACTCTAAGCCTAGAGTTTGACCTGGAAAAGTTGAGGAGCTCGGCCTGCAGTGCCGAGATGATGGGCCAAGTTAACCAGAACCCGATTCCAAGGAGGAAGAAGGAGAAGACAACGTAGACAAAGAAGCTGTTGACATCGAGGAGATACAGACCGGGGGTGATGATGTGCTTTGAAATGATGAATGATCATTGTCTCTTTTCTTGAACCCCCGTACATACATCATGTATCCTGAGCCTTCGAGCTCAATTTTCTACTTTGTTGTTTTTGTTCTTTCTTCTTCTTCCTTTTTTATAATAGTGATGTACCTTCTCTTTTTTCACTAAGTTGTGAAAGTTTGCCTTCTACCCCATGTGCCAAAGTGTTTTCCTTTCTTGCACCTTTACATTTCCTAAGTTGGTAAAACATTCTATAAATTTAGGGCCGACACCTTGATCTAGATTGGAATAACAACCTCTATCCCAAATGTCAGGTTGAATGGCGTTTCGCCAGTGGTCGTTATACTCGTTGTACAATATGCCCAGAGAACTCTATGGAGCTCATCAACCTATAGACCCTTGTCTCAGGAGAGTTAGGCCTCCAAGCTCGCAAGATGGCCCTATTTACTACCTTGGCTTGCCCATTTTCCTAGAGGTGCACGACCGACATGAAATTCTGTTTAATCCCCATCTTGTCACACCAATCCTAAAACCTGGTGTCTTCAAACTGCTTCTCATTGTTCGATATCAGCACCTAAGGTAGTTTGTATTGACATATGATACTCTTGCAAAAGTTTTGTACATTTCAAGCCATGATGGTCACTAGTGGCTCGACCTCCACCCACTTAGTGAAGTATTCCATTGCCATGACCAAGTACCTCCTCTGCCTAGTTGCCGAGGGAAGGGTCCAAGAATGCTTATCCCCCACTAGGCAAATGGCCATGGGCTGGTGAGGTACTGCATGTCGGTTGTGGGCTGTTGAGGTATGTTGGTGTGCCTCTAGCACCTATCACAGCGCTGCACGAACTAGACCACTTTGGTCTTCATGGTTGGCCAAAAGTAGCCTTGTTGGAGGGCTTTATGAACTAGCATCCTACCCCCAAGTGTTCACTACAAAGACCTTCATGGATCTCGTGGAGTACATATTCTGCCTCGCTAGGTCAAAGGCAATGCAAGTAGTGAAGAGTGAATGGCTTCTTATACAACTACTTGCAAATATGACGTAGCGAGCCGCCTTGTGCTCGATCTCCCAAACTGTATTTTTGATTTGATGGTAGTGCTCCACTACACAGATATTTGAAGATTGAGTCCATCTAGCTTGGTTCTGTGATTTGCATATGAGTGACTTCCTCTTTTGTCGGCCTCTCTATGCTGGGGTGTAGCAAATCTTCTATGTGGACCATCCACCTCGAGTTGTCCATAATGCTAACCAGCTTTGAAAGTGCACCAGCTTGGGCATTCTCAGACCTTGGTATCTGGTGGATGGAGAACAAATCAAACTACCTAATGAACTCTCAAATCTTTACTAAATACTTGATAGTTGCAGTCTCCTAAGCTTTGTAGTGGTCGTTCACCTGGTTCACCTCAAGCTAGGCGTCACTGCATGCCTTTAAATTCTTCGAGACGACTTCCTATACAAGTGACAAGCTGGAAATTAACACCTCATACTCAGCTTCGTTATTCGATGGCTGAAATCCAAAGTAAAGGCCATATTATCACCTCGTCAGGCCCCAACAAAATCAGCCCAACTCTGCTGCCTCTTTGGTTGGACGAGCCATCTACATGCAAGATCTAGGGTGTAGGAAACTGTGGACCCTACATTAAGAGTAGTCATGTGACACTCTAAGATGTACTTAGATTCAATTGATTAGGATCAGCTTTCCTAGTAGGATAAGCTTTATTCTATCTTATCTTGGATTAGTAGATTTAATTGATTTGGATCAGCTTTCCTAGTAGGATAAGTTTTATTCTATCTTATCTAGGATTAGTTTTATTTTAATCTTATCTTTTATTGCCATGTAAGTATTAAAGTTCTTTTACAATTAGGAAACTATGTATATAAATTAAGGAGTGGGGTGACTGTTTTAAGCACTCCAACCATTCTCTTCTTTCAAAGCTTCTCCTACGAGTGCTCCTTCTCTATCTCTCTTATTCTCTTTTATTCTGTTCAAAACCTAAAGAGTCTCTATAGTCTTGTACGACTACTTGGTATCAGAGCCAAATTTAGGGCTTCTCATGTGAGTTTGATCCAGCCGACCACATGAGAACTGCCTAGAGCTAGAAGAATAGAGAAAACTCCCTTCGGCTGATTCTTGGAGGTTATCTACAACAATAGTCCAAAGATTGGATCAGATCTTTGATAACCAGGAAGAATCAGAGGAAGAGAAGAGGATCAAGTCAAGTCTTGATCAAGACTACAGGTGGTGATCAAAGTTTTAGAAGAATTCTGGTTCAAGATCGGTTTCTTCTATTCAAGACTGGAGCTGATTATCACGATTAAAGCTTCTCAGAATTTTCTGGTAAGTTTTCAAGCCTTACAAAAATCAGCCAGCAGCAAGGATCTCTTGATATAAGAGGTATGGTTAAGAAAAAAACCCTTCCTTTCTGCATTTTTTTAGGGTTTAAGGGAAAACCCTCAAGTTTCTGGGCTACTATTGCTTCAGGGAGGTAATCAGATTTGTCTCCCTTGTTTTTTCCTGTGCTCTTTGGAAGATCTAGTAGTTCTTTTTTAACAGGATTGATACAATTCAGCCTCAATAGGTTGACTGTCACAAAATTAGGGTTTTTGAATCAGAACCCTCCTGTTATCTGCTATAGACCCAATAGGCCGATTGGTATAGTAATTAGGAAGCATTCTAATGGAGTTTAAAAGCCAAGGGGAGGGTGTTTTTGGGGCTGGTTCAGGTAGCATGGTTGAAAACACATTCCATATTATAATTGTAAAGTTTGATGGTTCAAACTCCTTAGAGTGGGCCCAATCAGCCATGATGGCCATTGGGGGAAGAGGAAAGCTAAACTATTTGTTGGGAGATGTGAAGGAACCAACCAAGGAGGATCCCACTTATACTAAGTGGATTCAGGAAAATTATTTGGTGATGATATGGCTATGCAACTCTATGCAACCACACATCAGCCGAAATTACTTATGGGCAAAAGCAACTAAAGAAATTTGGGATGTTGTGAAAGAAACCTACTCTCATCCCCTTAATGTTGATAGGGCTTATGAGCTGAAATGTGATGTCAAAAATCTCAAAAAAGGGGAGAAACATGTCTCTATTTATTTTTCAACCCTAAAATCCCCGTGGCATGAGATTGACCACTTTGAGACAATTGAATGGGAGAGTCAGAAAGATGCACAGACTTACAAAAAGCAGATTGAAACTAACAAAGTTTTTGAGTTCTTTGCTGGTCTAAATTCTGAATACGATATTGTAAGACAACAACTATTGACAAGAGAAAGTGTGACTCTATCTCAAGCCTATTCCCTAGTGCATAGTGAAGAGACTAGGAGAAAGGTTAGGTTACAGTAACAACCTTTTGAATCTGCCCTGTCAGCAGTTAAACCCAAGCCAAGGGGAGATAAGGAAAGGGATATGAAGAAATAGGCTAAAAAGGACATAATTTGTGAACATTGCAAGAAACCTAAACACACTAAAGACACTTGTTGGAAGTTGCATTAACATCTAGTTTTAGCAAAACTCAGAAAACAAAAAGGGTAATGCCAATATGCCTGTCAACACTAATAGTGTAGCCTCAACGACTTCAAGAGGTACCCCTCTTGATACCCTAGCTGCTCTGACACAATTAGAAAGTGAAGTTAGTAATTCAGTATCATATCCTCAGCCATCATTAGCTCCTTCAACCTCATATTTTTCTCAAATAAGTAATCGGGCCTTAGCTTATCATGCTTCAGCTCCAGGTAATATAGAACATTATTGGATAATAAATCCAGGAGCATTTGACCATATGACTGGCTTGCCATCACTATTCTCTACCTATCGTTTATCTTCTGGTAAAGACAAAGTGTCCATTGCTGATGGATCCCTTGTTCCTATTTTTGGCAAAGAAGACATCAAGTTGTTTAATGCAATTTCCTTATCCTCTATCCTGCATGTTCCTAAGCTTAATACTAACTTGCTCTCAGTTAGTAGCATTACAAAAGGGCAAAATTGTTCAGTAACATTTTTTCCTAATCGATGTGTTTTTCATGATTTGGAAACAAGGAAGGTGATTGGGACTGACCGTGAGACAAATGGAATCTACCTACTTGAAGGAAGTGCTCATCAGGAAGATAGTGAAACTAAGAAATCCTTTGTTTCTCAATCTGTTGATTAGGTGATGCTTTGGCATAATAGATTGGGCCATTTATCCTTTCAGGCTTTGAAAAGTTTGTTTCCCAGTATTTTTGAATCTGTCCAGATGATTAGTTTGAAATGTGAAAGTTGTGAGCTTGCAAAACATTATAGGACTACCTATTCATTAAGTAATAACAGAAACAATATTCCTTTTGAAATTGTGCATACTGATGTTTGGGGACCCTATCATACCACTGCCATGGGGAGTACAAATATTTCCTATTATTTGTTGAAGATTACACTCGATTTTTTTGGGTTTACCTTATACGTTCTCGAGATGAGGTTCCAGCATTAACCCAGATATTTCATCAAATGATTTTAACCCAATTTGCGGTCAAAATTAAAATTTTTAGATTAGATAATGCAAAAGAATATTTTGCAAATCCATTAGCCTCCTACATGCTTGATCATGGGATTATTCATCAGAGTACCTGCCCACATATACCACAGCAGAATGGGGTTTCTGAAAAAAAGAATAGACACATATTGGAGGTAGCCAGAGGCATTGTGTTTACCTCAAATGTGCCTATACATTTCTAGGGGAATGCTGTTCTTACAGCTGTTTATTTCATCAATCGGATTTCCTCACGGGTTCTTGACATGAAAACTCCATTTACCCTTTTATACCCTGATAAAGAATTGTTTACCATTCCCTTCAAAACTTTTGGTTGCACTTGTTTCATTCAAATCCTAGGCCCTCATCATTCCAAATTTGATCCCATGGCTTCCAAATGTATTTTCCTTGGTTATGCCCAAAATCAAAAGGGATATTGTTGTTATGAACCGATTTCTAGAAAAAGATTTATCTTAATGGATGTCACATTCTTTGAGGATAAATCTTATTATCCAAGGGTTTCTCCTTAGGGGGAGAATAGTGAAGCCGGGAGTAACTCATCGAAAGTTCCTTTTCCAATCCCATTAAGTGAAGAATGATGTAATGGGGAAGGATGTCAAAGGTGCAAGGATGTAAGAGTCTATCACAGACGATGGAGACAGGTCGATTTTGGACATTAGTAGTGTAGGCCAGTCCCAGTCCCCGCTACAGATCTAGATCCCGGTACCACAGTAGCCCCAATTCCTTTTGTAGATCCAGATCCAGATACCACAGTAGCCCCAGTTCCTTCTACAGATCCAGATCCAGGTACCACATATACTACAGATGAGATACATTCAACCATGGAGCCTTCACCTTCATTCAATGCCTTGATCTCCCCATAGCAGTCTGTAAAGGCAAACGCCGTTGCACCACAACTCACTGTATTTCTCAGTTCCTATCCTGTGATCATTTGTCTCCCTCCTACAAGTCTTTTCTTGCATCCATTGCTGATATTCCCATTCCCAGAACTATACAGGAAGCATTGGAAGTACCAGAATGGAAAGATGCAATAAAAGTAGAAATTGATGCCCTCATCAGAAACAATACCTGGGAGACAGTTGATCAACCTAAAGGAAAGAAACCGGTTGGATGTAGATGGGTATTCACTGTGAAACATAATGCTGATGGGTCTGTTGAAAGGTATAAGGCCCGATTAATTGCAAAAGGATTTACTCAGACATATGGTATTGACTACTTAGAAACTTTTGCACCAGTAGCAAAGATAACCACTATTAGAGTACTATTATCTCTTGCAGCTAGTTACTCTTGGCCATTGTATCAAATGGATGTTAAAAATGCCTTTCTCAATAGAGACTTGTAGGAAGAAGTTTACATGCAGTTGTCTCTAGGATTTTATGGTACG